GAAGCATGGAAGTATATAAGTGTATATAGATATAGAGAGAGAAGGAGGAAGAACTAGAGAGAGAAGATGAGTGGCCAAGAATGAGGAGGAAGAGGGGATGGTTTGGTAATTCTAGTTGTGTATGTTTGGTCCTTCCTTTGCCAAGTGTCACCAAATGGGTGATTCTCACTTTAGGTAAGATTACTTACATATCCCCATGCACTTGAACAATTCATACATTCCATATCTCACAAATATCTCCCAAATGTATAGATACATGTATATGTATATGCATATGAAATGCCAATAATGCCCCTCAATGAAAATGGCAAAACCGGGAGAAGTTCCCGAGCCCGGAAATCATCCCGACTTTCGAAAAATTCTAAAAATGGTTATGTCACTTCTAATTAACTTAAAATAATTAAAAATATATTACTAAAACTCTAGGATCAAGAAAATGACCTAAACAGCCCTCGGGCGAGCGTGGTATGCAAAATGAGGCTTGAAAATAAAATAATTGAAAAAAATTGAAAAAAAAAAATTCGAAAAAATTCAAGATGTTACAATCTATCCTCCTTAAAAGGATTTCATTCCCAAAATCAAGTCATACCTGGGGATGTAAATAAGTTGGGATATTTGGAATGAACCTTCTATTAGGCCAAACCTTAGGAGAGATCATTGTATATATATATATATATATATATATATATACACACTTGTATAATTCACGTGTGATGCACATGATTGAATAATCATCAAACAATGATTTTTAGCTATAGAAAATTATCAGGTATGCTTCTCCAGTTGTATCTCATACTCGGAAATGGATCATGAACTTGCATAAATGAACATGCAATTTATTAATTTATAATTATTAATAATATGTATTTAAGAAAGAAAAGAAACTTAATTTTGATTCTAAATAATAATGAATATAAATATAAAGTAATACATTTGAAAGTATTTGCATTTTTTACGTTTACAATTATGTAAGGATGTAAAGTTTAAGCATATGCACTTACCTTAATAGGACCTATAAGACCCCTCGTATATTTTTCCTCTTTCAGTATGTAAACTCTTTCAGTATGTAAATCACTGGTTTTTTTTTTTTTTTTTAATTGCACATACCAATAAATGAGCAAAGAGGGACATGAATAAAAGACTTAAGATAAAGCTACAAAGGCAAAGTAGCCCAAACCCACACTTAATGGTTAACCCAAAACATAGCCCCAAAGGCTTGTAACATATATTAGATTGTCCAATAAAGTGGAAAAAAAAGTCATAGCGCCTTTGATCAATCAGTCGCTATTCCAACACTATATAAGATAGCTTTGGGCAATCAAGACATGAATTTGATGTAAATAATAAGCAAATCAGTCAAAATGACACCTAAACATTCCAATTGAAGTCTTACCCTTTAGGTAAGTACGATGATATACCTCAATAAATTTTTATGAGCAATCATCACATTCTAAGACATCTAATTGATGTTTGCACAAATTACCTTTCTAAACATGCATCATGGTAAGCACAACCGTCATACATGTACTATTTAACATGGTGAATTAAAATTAAAGCTATTTTATCTGGAAAAAAAAACAATTCACTCTACAAATTACAAATAAATATTTACTTCACAAAGATGTGCAACTCGACCTAAGGATTACCACATTTAAGAAGTTGATATTATAATTACTTTAAACTTCTCAAACTTAGAGCAATAACTTTGTTTTCTTAACAATCCAACAATGGCTTTATACCCTTTGACACCAATGATTAAATTTTTATTGATAAATCTTGATTAGAAGAAGTAAAAATTCTAAATTTAAAGAATTTAGTTTATAAATCAAAATTGGTGATTAAAATTTTAAGAACACATATAATTGAAAAGATTCCTATTGTCAACAACTATTTTTTTGGTTTAATTTACATTACACCACTATATTATTCTCTGTATGACATTTAACTGATAACTTGACATAGAAAAAAGAACCTTTTCTATGAAAACTACTTTAAAGTTGGCTTTCCTAATCATTCTTGTCCTGAAATTTTCCTTTCCTTGATTGAAGATATTAAAAGGAAATATGAATCAGAATCAGCTATTTACAATACAAATTCTTATAACTCGAGTATAAGATTGAAAAAAAGAAAACTATTAGATTGTACTTGCAATTACTTTTATTAAATCGAACCACTATCTAAAATCTGGGTAAACCAGAAATATTATGCATGCATTGTCATTATATATCATTACATTTCAAAATCTACAAACAACATGCACAAAATTTCACTTATATTGCATATATTTTAAACGAACGTTGAAAAATGAAATGGTGAACGCGAATAATTTGGTAATTCGATTTTAAAAAATCACTATCCACCAATCAAAATTTTAAAATATTAATGTATTCAAACGGATTAAAAACTTCAATAGATGATTTTTCTAACACATGAACAATTTGATTTTCAAAGATTAGAAAAAGATTCCAACCCTATAAACACAGTCAGAGAGCACCATACAACAGAATATATCGTATAAATTAGGAACTGACTTGGCCTTGATACCACAAGAAAGCTCATGAATCTATCTTCCTTTCGCTTGTACTCTTCATAATCCTCTTCCTCTGTTCTAAGCCGTTCATCCACGACCACCTCATGAACATTTACCATGTTAGGATCATAAAACTTTTAAGATTTTCGTCCATTTGAATAGTGGTTATATAAGTTCCAATTTTCAAATTTTACAATAGCTTGAGCACTGCCAAAAAAGATAGTGGTCAGTTAACAATAAAAATAATTTTTTATATAGAAGATCAAATCATAGCATAGAATGATATAAACAAAGAATAACAGAGAATTGGTCAGATGCATCGTACTGACCCAACTGCAATTGTAGATTTTAATTCTTGACTCCAAATGCCTCTCCACGTTCATCTCTCTTTTATCAATTCTCAGCACCCCTCCTTTTCCTCTCTCTCTCTCTCCTCACTCACTCACTAAACCACGCTCTAAAGAAAGATAAAACACATGGCTTCACCCTCAGCATTTAGCCATTTATATAAAAAACAACAAAAATTTAATCTTGTATAAAACGTATATAATATAAGAAATAAAAAGTCCATACAATTTTAATAGTAGTTACAATAAAAATTAAATGAAAAATTTAAGTGGTGTAAGTCTTAAAAAATGGAGATGTGGGAAACTCAAAAGTTGTAACTATTCAAACAATAAAATTATTTATTAAAAACAAAAATAATAATAAATGATAGTATAAAATGTGTATATAACAAAAATAAAAGGTTTTAAATTAAATGGAGTATTTAAGTGATGTAACTCTTAAAAAATGGAGACGTGGGAAACTCAAAGGTTGTAACTATTCAAACAATAAAATTGTTTATTAAAAGAAAAAATAATAATAAATGATAGTATAAAATGTGTATAAAAATAAAAGGTTTTCAAAACATTTAATGGAAATTATTTTGTATTTTTGAAAATTCTAAAAATGTTAATAAATTTTTTACACTTTTAGAATAGTATATATATATATATCAAAGCAATTGTAACATTATTTGCATATGTCCTTATAAACTATGCAGTTGCTCTTGTTGAGTTTAAACTTATCATTTCAAGAATCAAGCAAATCTTGGAAAACATATAAAGGGTGCTGTCTATGAAATTTAGTCTTTCATTCCTTCAGGAAGGTATTTTTGGCTGAAGGGAAAAAGCTCACCCTATGCTTATGAATTGTTGGATCCATGATAAACATAAGTAAAATTTGTTGTGCAAAACCACCTTGTGTCCCAGGTTCTCAATGGTTAATATCAACAGAATTGAAAATTGAAGCCAAAGCATTATTGTATTAGAGAACGAGATTCAAGTAAAAAAAAAATAATAATTCACAATCATTTCTAATAACAGTGTTTATACTAGAATTTTAATGCAAAGTTCCAATGAATCCACAAGGTATAACAATAATGGAAAAATATTTTCTCAACATTAACTTAAAACAACAAAAGAAAAAAAAAAAAAATCAAATCTAGATAATGTCAACACCCAAAATATCCTCTTCTTCCAGCCTAGGCAGCACCACAAGTACTTGGTCGGAGTGAAAGTAAGAAGTTGGCAAGCAAAAAGACCAATAATATCCTTTTTATTATTATTATTTGTGAAATATTAATTAATTTTGACAAGAAGTTTTTTTTTTAAAAAATTATTTTTATTAAATGAGCCGAGCCCAACCTTTTAAAATCAAGACGAGTCCGAGTTTAAACAAACTCTGTAAACAAACGAGTCTAACCCGAGCAGACCCAAGCTCGGCTCAACTCGACCCTACCTAATATGTGTAAAAAACTTGTTACTCACCAATAAAAGAAAATTCCAAATAATTGATATCAATCTTGCGTTGAAAAAACCAAAAATTAAACATATGAATAACATAATACTAAAGAAAGAATACCTGATTATTAACGCATTGGAGTAATATATTAAAATTGAGCTTGTGAATTTGGTGTTTTGGTTTGTCAATGCTTTAGTGGCTTCATTAAAGTGACTACAATCAACCTCATTCACTATCGATTTGTAGCATTTAATCTTTCGTGGAAAATGCCAAGGGTGGAAGCTTTATGTTATTGTCAGAGGATAAACAAAATTAAATCACAATTTAGAACTAGCAGAAATACCAATAGGTTATCACAAATCTTCTCCAAAGGCACTACAGATGAACAATATATGCATAGTATAATTATTTTTGTATTTATTTTATGAAGAATATATATATATATATTAGGTGTAAATCATAAAGAAATGGCATTATGTTAACGAAGCTGGAGAAAGTTAGGGATAGAAGAAATGAATGGGTAAGAAGGGCAAAAATGTCCTTTTAGAGTTCTGATATTTTATTTTAAAATAGATTAAATTTGAAGGGCAATATCGTCTTTTTACACACTTTAAAGGATTGTTTGGTTCCTATTTCAGGGTATCGTTTTAATTAAATATAAATTTGAGGGGCTGCGACGAATATTGCCTGTTCTATATATAGAAAGAGATTTAAATTTGGGGTCATTCTCGGTTGGTTTGCTTTCTAGGTTAGGGTCTGTGAGAAAAGCCAGATAGATCTGAAACCGAACAGATCGGAGGGTTGTATGCAATGGTTGGTAGTGGTGGCTCGTCTAAATCAGTGGAATCTGAGAGTGTTGTGGAGGAAACCCCTCCAGGGCTGTTGGCTAAGCAAGGTGAAGGAGAGGGAAGAACCGTAAGGGCGAGGGATGAACAAACTGTGATTCAAACTTATCCTGATTCATCCCCTCAATCTGATCCAATGGACGAGGTAAAGCCGATCAGAGTAGATGGTGTGGTCAAACAATTCGATCCTGTGATTGGCTTTGGGATCATCTTTCCGAGTGTTGGCGACGACATTCTCGAGGTCCACAGGTCCTCGATCCGAGACGGGGGCGTTTTCGGTCTTGTGGAAGGTGAGTCGGTAGAGTTTTTTGTCAAGTATACCAAAAATCGTATCAAAGCCGTTGACGTCACCGGCCCAATGGAGTCCCTGACACAGGGTGCTATCCGCCGCGACGGTGATGGGTATTATGTCAACAAGGGAGTTATTGGCGGTTATGTGCTTGGGATAAAGAGTACGGAGGTGGGGATAATGGCGGCTGCTGTGGGTACGGAGGTGGGGATGATAGCCCTTTATCTGTAATCAGAGGTTGGGATAATGGGTACCGAAGTGAGGATGATGACCCTTCACCTGTTATCAAGGTGGCGTCTGTGGCGGGGGCGGTGGGGTGGGCGTCGGTGGGGGCGGCGTTGGCGGCGCTGCTTTGTAAATTGCTGGGTGGGGCATCTCTCCAGAGAGTGCACCGCTGAGATTGATTGAAAATGAAGGGTAAATGTGTGTGTTTATCGTTTTACTCCCTTTCTTTTGCTGTTAGAATTTCTCAAGCTTGAAAAATATTAGTATGAAAAGTGTTGCCGTTATATGGCCTCCTCTAAACTGTGGTTTAGCTGTTGGCTATCTTGGGTTTGGGATATCTGCTTTATTGGTTAGAAATATTTGGAATTTTATTTGTGTCTTTATTTTTGTGTAGAGGGGAATCAAGAGAAGGTAATTTTAAAATATTGTGGGTATGCTACTCAATCTTCATATATATATATATGTACACACACATACATGTTGGCCTGATCTTAATGAATTGGAGTTTTCTTAATTACTTTTTGGCTTCTATTTGTACTATTCTAACCAATGCAAGTTTGGTATGGTTTTCAGGGAATTTGGGTAGAATATAAAACATTCTCTGTTTATATTTGATTTTTGTTGCCTTGCATATACATGAGAATGGGTTCCAAATCTATTTCATTCCATTCTTTGGAAAAGTTAGGGAAGTCATTGTGATAGGAAATGGGATTTTGGAAAAATAATTTTCCAACCAAGAATTAGTGTAGAGAACTTATAGTTGTTTCTTTCCAAAATCATAGAATGAATGCATATAGATGAACATGGTGAAAATATAGAAACTCACCCTTGTAGAACAACTATCTCATCAAGATAGTTCCTAGTCCTTCTCCTTGGTGTCTCCTCCAAGCTCCTCAAAGCTTCAACCACAAGATAATCACTTCCATGTCCTGATATTAATTCTCCAGACCATAATTATGTAGGAACTCCTTGATACAAGAGATGTAATGTATGTGTATATATAAGAAGTTAGGTGGAATATTAGTATATACCATTTTCCCAGTGGGCCTTTATGAGATCGTAATATTCACACCACCTTAAAACAATTCTTAACCCACATACCATCTCTACATCTTTCGGTGTAACATTCACATTAAATGGGCTAGGAGGGAGGATCAAGTTGGGCCAAATCCTTCTTAGGCTATAATGGTGTTGAACAACTTGGCCTGATCATCTCATGACCCAATTGATTGACTCGTGGAGAGGGTGTGGTATGGGTCCTCACGTTATTCATTTTTGGAGGGCGGTACCACTATGCGTTTGGTGGTGCATCTGGAAGGAACATAATAGTAGATCTTTTGAAGGGGAGGAATCTCTCGTAAGAATGCTAAAATACCAAAAGACCTCTAATTTAACTACTGAATCACTCTGTGGGGGAAAGAAACCTCATTTTGACCCATAAGAAATGGATGTGCTATAGAGATATTCAAGTCAACTAATGCAGTCCCAAAGACCTCTAATTTGACTACTGAATCACTCTGTGGTTTAAGAGAGAGAGGGAGAGAGGTTACAGACATGGATTATTTTTAGAATGCAACGAACAGCAGTAGCACACGAATCTCCCCAGTTTTCAGGTTATGTTTAGATATGTTGAACTTGTGGCTCAACTTTTGCCAACTCAGCATTGTTTTGCATCACCCTTGCATCAGCTTTCTTGGCAGCCAAGGAGTGTGATCAACAAGTTTGTAGGCGTGATCAAGAAGCCTTTTCTCTGCCAGCTATATGCATGTGTGATTAGCAAGAATACATGAGTGTCCAGCAAGCTTAAGTTGGTGATTTTTTGGCTATAAATAGCCTGCACTCCATGGTGGTTTGGCATCCAAATCATCAATTGTGAGTTTGTAATTAATATTAGTTATAGAATGAGAGTGTGTGGGTGTATTTGGGTTTTGGGTGTGAGTCACTTTGTCTTGTATCTCTTTATTTTAATAGTAAAATATTGTTCTGTCTTCTTCTCGTTTGTGTGTGTGCCATTTTAATTTCTTGTCATAATTTTCTCTTTTGTTCTCAAAACTCCTATTAGATCCTTGCTTTTTCATAACAAGATATATTTGACATTCCTTTCCAAGGCTCCAACCTCTCTATTTTAGGACCTCTATTAAGACCTTTGAAATGTAAACCAACAGCAGCACGTGATGGTAAACTATGATTGATTTTGTCTCTGTAATAAATTATGATAACCATGAAGCTAGCATTGGACTTGTTGTAAAAGCATCACTTCATGGCCTTAGAAAAGCTTTGTTTTGGTGTAATGCGGAATTGGGATTATCTGAAATTGATCCTAGTGCTGTTTGATGGTTTCAACTAGGTTCGTTAATCTTCATCATAAAAGGTAGGTCATTGTATTGTATGGATTTGTTTGATGATTGGAATTATTACTAGTCTGGCCTTGTGTGCTTTTTAGTCATAATTTCCTCAACCCAACATATGGAATAAACTGTCATGCAATGGAAATTATAAGCGTCTTGAGAGTTTGGCTAGAAGATTTATAAGTCAGAGTACAAGTAATAATGATTCTTTACAAATGGTGTTAAGAAAAGCAGGTTCGAATAGAAGTTTGCGCTCTATGATTTGTAGTTGTACCAATTTGTCAGTGTGCGTTTCTTTTGACTCGAAAAAAAAAAAAAGAAAAAAAAAGAGAAGAGAAGTCAGTATACGTTTCTTTTGTGCTTGTTATGAATGCAATATAGAATCACCGTTGCTTTAAGATTGCTCTGCAGGCATGAATATAATATTGCATCTTTGCTTTATATTATTACTTTAAAACAAGTATTTTTTTTTTGGTTAATATGGATTTTTTACATGTTTTTCTTTGTTGGTTTGCTGAGAATATATAATTTTTTTTTTAACATTTTGGACAAGTGTTTTGGGTTTTGAAATTGTTCTGTTCTATCGTCGTCCGAGTGACTTTGATTATAGATTGTTATATCATGTTCTGTTTGAAAGGAAAAAGGTTATTGAGTTTGAATTCTATTTTTCATTGATTTGGAGAAAGGGTTTGGGCTTTAAAGGCAAAGATGTGAGTTTGTGTGTGCTGTTCTCTCTCTTATGTGTTTGTCTCCATCCTTTCCTTGTTTGGTGAGAATTTTTGCCAAAAGAGAAATTTGATGTGTGAGATTTTTTTAAAAAAAATTCTTATAATTTAAATCTATATTTAAAAGGGAAATGATTTTTTTTTATTTTTTATATGTCTTTTCTTTTTCTTTTTATTTTTTAATTTATACCATTGATCCGATAAATTAATATATATATATATATATATATTCCATTTTTTGTTGCTCGAACCTTCTTGATTATTCCCAGATGGGTTCCCACTCGCAGCCATCAAATCAGTCACTACTCACTCAAATCTATCAATCCAAGCTTATTTCCCAAATCAACAACTCAAATTTTCAGAATAAACTCTCCAAATCTCAAGAAAAATAAACACTTCACAGATTTCTGAATATTATAAACACGGATATGATATTCATTAAAATAGTTTTCTGTTTTTTCTTTTTTTAAACATGATTATTATTATTATTTTTTTCTCTCTTAATCAACCAAATACAAGAAGTAATTACAAATTTTTTTTTTTTTTTAATCTCTCCTAACTAGTTTTATCCATTCTTTTCTTTTCTACTATGCCAAACATCGAAGAGAGATATAAAAGGATGAATCGTGTAAAAGTTTGATTTTGCTGCTTAAAAAAAAGTGTAGAATCTTTCTGTTCTATTTCGGGAGTTTATGTAAATTGTCGGGTCACTTCTTATAAATTGTGTATATATATAATTTTTTAAAATATATATTATACCTAAAGGGCGTGTTAGTTATTTCATAGTTTAATTAGTCCAAAATTGAAGATTTGTGCTTATTTGCACAAATTAAAAAATGTAAGGAGTTTTATGAACAAAGAGGATAATTTGCACATTTTAAATATAAGGAGGAATTTTTTTGCATTTTACCCTACTTACAAGTAAGTAGAGCAGTGATGCAAAAAGTTTTGCCAACAAATCAAAATAATTATTAATTATTAAAAAATATATTCTTATTTCATATTTGAGAGTTAAATATCATGACACTGATAGAGAGTAATTACATACAATGACTCACAATATTTCTCAACTTATTATGGACTCGATTCATATCTTAGTTAATATAAGAGTTCATCTTTAATTACTGACAATAAACTATGTATGATTGCTATTTATGTATTTGTATTGGACGTCATCACATGTATAAAAATTTAAAGTGCAATCAATTAGATAATATCAATTCCTTAACGAATTGAAACATAATACTTATATTCACTAGTATAAAGAAAATATAATTTTAGATAAGGTAGGAAGTAAGGAACTATAATCCCGAATAGAAATACAAATACCATGCACAAGTGTCTTTTGCCTACTTTCTTTTTTCTTTTTTTTTTTTAAAAAAAAAGTAGGGGAGAAAGCTGTAATTATGTCCATTATCCCAATCTTTGTGCAATAAATATAAATTTTAGATAAGGTAGGAAGTAAGGAACTATAATCCGAATAGAAATACAAATACCATGTACAAGTGTCTTTTGCCTAAAAAAAAAAAAAAGTAGGGGAGAAAGTTGTAATTATGTCCATTATCCCAATCTTTGTGCAATAAATATAAATTTTAGGGGTGTGAGTATAATTCTAGTGATACAAATATTAGCTCTTATATATAGATTGGGGGCCGGGGTCATTCTCGCTTGGCTTGGTTTTTAGGTTTAAGGGTTTGTGAGAAACACTGCAATCAGATCCAATGGCCGAATTGAAGCCAATCAGATCCAAGGGTGTGGTACAATATTTCAATGACGAGAGTGGCTTTGGGTTCCTCACACCGGACCTTGGCGGAGCAGACCTGTTGCTCCTCAAGTCCTCGATCCGATACGGGAGCTTGCAGATTCCTGTGCAAGGCGAGACGGTAGAGTTTTTGGTCGACCATGGTCGGGACTCTCGTATCAGAGCCGTCGACGTCACCGGCCTAAATGAGACGGCGATCAAGGGTTTTGCGGTTCAGGTAGACGTAGAGGTTGGGATTATATCGACGGCCCCATCGGCGGCGTAGATGATAGCAAGGTTGTTAAAATCGGGATTCTACGCAGAATCGTTTTGGTCTCCGTAGAATCGGAATCGTAGAATCGGATCGTGAATCGTAAGATTCTACCAAATTGTGAAAAAATAATTGAAACTAACTTCTTAAATAATAAAATCTGTAAAATATAATAAAAATAAGGTCAAAACACAATTAAATATATCTAACCTCAACATAGCCTATCAAAGAATAAAATTTGACATTTAAGAGATATTTTTTTGCCCTGTAAATAAGTAAAATGACTTCCCCCAAAATTTTTTACCCTTGCCCAAATTGTGCACAATTAAAATTACACTTAAAAAAATATTATATAGATAAATAAAAAATAAAAAAGCTCATTCACATTTCTATTATGAAACATTTCATTATTAGGGGAGCAAAAAATAT